ATCATGTCTGGCGTGTGCTGGCGCAAGAGGGTGTGGATATTCTGAATGTTGATGATTTGGGTTCTGCTGCTAAGGGATATTGGAAATCTGGAATTTTCGATTGGTGGCTATGATGACTATGCATTGGGTTCAAAATATTTCTCTTTGCTCTTTGCTTTGACATATGAGATCATGGCCTGGCGTTGGGACGCTCTTTGATTTACGATACCTAGCCTTCTTTGGCTTTATTGCTTTATCTTGTTCGATAGACTTGCTTTATATCTCAAGGGTGCTATTCATCCAATATCAAAATGTCCATGCAGCTTTCAATATACTGACACTACTTTGATAAACGAAAGAGATAATGGTGCGGATTGACAAAATTCAATTCAAATTCACTACAATCATAGTTTGGGTCTCTGTCGCATCCAGCGCAGCGGTAGTGTTATTCCTCAATCTGGGATCTGTTTCCCAACGCCCTTGATACCCGATATCCAGAATTGACGCCACAATTCTCCCAGTAAAATCAGATCAAAATCAAATGCATAAACCAAAGGACACAGTCCGAAAACAACCTCAAATTAACCGAGATTATAAAAATAAGCCCTCGACCAGCCGAGAGCCTCTCCCAACACCGCCAAAACACATCAGACATAACTACTCGTAGACATCATATCTCATAGACAGCAGAGCGCCTCTTCACCAAACTCACGGATAACACTACCCTCTTCCCGAATCAGTCCACCAAGCCAATGCTTCGCAGTCTCAAAATCCTTAGCACCGAACTTGACAAGCACAAAGCCAGCGCGCACACGCGCCGCCGTCCACGTAACATCACCCTTATTGCTAATCGAAGGTTCAGGCACCGACGACGGCGCATGATCCGACCAATTGCGACTGCCGATACGAGGCTGCGACTGGAACTGATTCAGCATGAACGATCCGAGCGCCTCGAACACCGGTCCGGAGAGAATAAGCGTTCCGACGACGCCGTGCGGTCGCGTGCGCTCCGCGATGATATTCAGCGGAGTCAGGCCGGCCGGCGCTTGCGGCGGCATGTCGGCTGGCTTCGCGAGGGCGGTGTTTGTGTCGTGTGTTGTGTTTTCGACTTCGCCTTTGATACCTTCTTCGACTTCGACTTCATTGGATATGGAAGTTGCGTCCAGGTCACCGGATTCATCGTCGAGGATTACCGAGTCGCGGAGGAGGAGTCGGCGGTTTCCTTTATCATCTTCGGCCCAGACTTCGTTGCGGCCGCGCCAGAACTGGAAATTCCAATCCTCGCCGCGCGAGGTGCGGCCTTGTGTTACCCAGTCCAGGACGCAGACGCTGCTGCGGTCGTTGCCTTTTGCGGTGGCGTCTACGGTGAAGGTTTGGAGTTGGGCGTAGCGACTGTGTTTGAAGGGGACGGAGGGGTCTGGGAGGTAACAGAGGGCTGCTTGGCGGCCGATGTTGACGTCGAGGGTTTGCTGGCTCATGTCGGAGATGTGGTCATTGGCGGGCATTTGATCGCGGTGGCCTTTGATTACATTTGGGGCTGTGCCGGCGTTGTTTGGGGTTGTTTTGAAGATCTTGGTGCTGCCTTGTGGTGTCGTGACCACCATTCGTGTCCTGGGTTCCAACGTGATGGATACTTCGATGTGATCACCTGGCAGGAGCCCGCCGCCATAGGTGAGGAGGTAGAGGTGGACGGGATTGGAGGGACGGGTGTCTGAGTGGGCGGAGGAATCTGGGGATGGGACGAAGCCGCCGGTGCGTGGGACGAGCTTCAATGGGTATTTGTAGGTGAGGGTTGTAAGGGTGGGATTATTTGGTGGGAGGAGAGAGAGGACTACTTTGCCCTGCCCTGGCTTCGCAATGGAAGACTGAAAGGGCGAGGGAATTGGCTCTGCTGGTTGTCGCATGGTGAATGTGTTGACAAAGGTGTAAAAAAAAAGTCTTATGTTATAAGCAAAGCCAAGCTATCGGAAGTATGTTCGAGGGGGGCGAGTTGGTATATGAAATAGGAAAATGACGATTCCTTAGTCATAAGCATCCACCCGTGGACAAGCGGGGGATATTCCCCCCAAGTTTCCTTGGCTCTCTCACTCCGGAGCATAATAGGAGACAACATAACTAGCACGGAGTCGAAAAGGGGAAGAATTGAGGTTTCTATGACAAAGAGGTATGCCCGTATTGGCGTTAGACCTGGAGGGTTACTTCTTGGCAATGCACTATGTCATTTGCTGATCTGCACGGCTTATTTAATTATAGTCTGGCAGGCTGGGCAATCTGGGCAAAGGGAATCATGGGACATAGTAAAGCAGCTATATGCTACTAGTATATGAATGCATTTTCAACCCATAGGTTGACGCAATTCTGGCAATTATACACAAGCTCCACCTTGTCGAATAGGAAGAACATATGGGCTTGGATGCCTATTTTCCTCCAATAGTTCCCCTATAGCCCATTTTCAAACCCCAAGGCTAATACTAAGCTACTGCCTTGGAATTTAATTCAAAATCTCCCGTCTGCAGCTGTAAGGGTGTTTTTGCATAAAATATACAAGGACCAAGAGACTGAGCCGTGGTAGGATTGGACTATGTGAAAAGAAATTGCATTCCATATTAGTTCGTAATACGGAGTATTTCCATAGTAGCTGGTAGATCACATTATGCTTAATAGACCTATAGGGTACTTCGTGGGCTACACGAACATAGTTTCCCAACTTGAGCCACTTCGAGTGTTCCGAATATTCGCTTCACCCTCGATATTCTCCGGTACATGACATTCTAACGCCTGGCAACCCAATCTCTAACCGGGCCATCAGCATACAGACCGGGATTCTCTGGACCTGAAGGTCAAACGGAACAAAAATCATTACAGATGTGACAAGCCGGACTGCCCAATCTGTTATAGGAAGAAACTGTGCCAATCGTCCTGGTCATGGAGGCCAAAAAGAAGATATCTGGCCGGATATGTCCTTGCGCAGTGTCTCGGATACATGGGTGAGTGCCCTTGGGAGTACAATATGGAAATCTAACTCGTTCCAAGGCGTTCTTCATAGGCTACGAAAAGAAGCTGGAAAAAAAAAACTGCACTGTGTATGGCATGACACGACCAGACGCGCATCTTTCTTATCAATTAAAACTCGGAGGTGAGTTAACTCATGAATTTTGATCTGACTGCCTTAGTCTAACATTGAACTAGTGGTCGGGAGTCGGGACCATGTGGCTACACACCAGACTATAGCTGAGTACTTCGCGTGCTGGTGCATTTTCTGCGGACAGCTGCGGCCATGCCCCCGATGCACTCGAAACAATCTTCGAAGTACAGTACCGAAAAATCCAATTCCCCAACACATCGGCGTAGGATCGTGGAATACTAGGTTGCGTTGCTGTGTATTTCTGTTTCTTCATTATGTTCAAAGCTAGAGGGTGACTATCTTCTTTGTGCTCCTTTATAAATATCTTTGCAGTATTACTGAGATTTTTATAGAACATGTTCTTTTAAAATATAATTCCCATGTGGGTTCATGGCTGCAGTACTTTGTACTTGTTAACTATGTACCGGATAATGGCTGGCACTCGAGACCTTTCCCTTTCCGTTTTAGTGCTCACCTCTTGCCGCTTTTTGATCTCAGAGTAAAACTGAGCACGTCCCTGACCCTGACTTGATCACGGACCATTACATAATCTGCGTGATCTGCTCACTGAGTGCTCACTGTGTAGGGATCCAAGTAAAAAACTCACAGCAGGGCTGTTCAATTGGCCAGTACAATTACCATTCTGCCAAAGTTACAAAGTGGTGGGCCTAAAGCAGATTAGCGCATGGCGGATATATTTTCCGGGAGAGAAGAGCAAGAGTGTGGAGGTATAACTGATTTCGAAAACTACTGTAGGAGTACCATCCACATTCATTTGATCCAATCTATTATCATACAACAAGTATCGTTTACGGCCCATCTAGAACCAGCACACCAGACGGCGAGAGATTGCACCATTTTAATGAGTCATGACTAAGCGCGTGGTCTATAACTAACTATACGCAATCTTTGAGAATAGCTTCAACAATAAACCGCCTATATATCCTTTTCTTCCATTCTATTCTCTTCATTTCGCTCCCATATTCTTACGTCCATGTCCGTGAACTTCCACCTTATAAAGCCACCGCCTATGTCCTTCTGTTTGGGGGAGTTCTGTGAGTAGAACACTTGGGGTGGAGCACTCTAGTAGGTTAAAATAGTATCGCCAGAGACCTTGGGGGTGACTATTTTGAAAATAATCAACCTTCCGGAAGGCGTCATCGTCGTCAGACTAGGACTGGTCGAACTATTAGTCGATTGCATTTTATACCCTCGCCATCGTAAATAATCCCTTCACAGCCTTCGCCTTGCTTATCACACTAGGAACACTGCTCGCCGTCCTGGCCACGGGTTCATCAGACACGGCATCATTGTCCCTGATCTGGGCTTCCCGTTTGAGAGGATCGCCGTCAGTATCAGCCTTTTCCAACTCTAATATCTTCCACGCTCGCACAAGCTAGAGGCAAATGCATGCTGCTATAAACATAAAGCCGATAAATATCTGGGTATGCAGAAAATTGGTTGCGTTGTCGGTTCTTAGCCAAAGGGCGATCGGTTCAGCAAATGTGCTCGGGATGACCACCGAAAGCCAGAAGATCGATAAGGCAGATTGTAAGAGTTGTAATCCTATAACCTCCGCGCCTACCGAAGCAACGGTAGTCGTGAAGGTTATAGCAATAGGGCCGCAAATCAGAGTATAGAAGATGAGGACTCTAAAGCTTTTTGCAAAGATCCAGATGATAAGAGAAAAGAGGCCAGCTAGGAAGGTATAAGCGAGGGCGGTGTTTAGCCGTCCAAAACTATCGCTGACGTACCCTATAATAGGTCGACTAAGGCCTCCTCCAAGATTGAATATAGCACTAAGAATCGAGCCTTGGGATGCGGTCAGGCCTACGGTGGTTGCGTAGTCGGGAATTGAGAAAAGAAGGGCCATATAACCCAACACACTAAAGCAACCCTAGGCCAAAGTGAGTAGAAACTCTGGTCTTTTTAAAAGCTCGGTATGGAAGGCGATTTGAATAGCTCCAATGGCCTTGTTCCGATCCCTCACAATGACAGCAGAGAAGCCGCACGCAGCAGCGGAGACAATAGCCAGGACCCGGAAAGCCCAGCTAATACCCCATCTCTGAATCATGGCACTTGTAACTAACGAATAGATGAGGCCTCCGATCCCCGATCCCGCCGTTGCAATACCATTTGCAAGGGAACGTCGGCGGGTGAACCATTGAGGGATGATACCAATAGTAGCACTAAATTGCATTCCCATCCCAAATCCGAAATATAGAGCCTGACTGAGAAACAACTACTAAATCTGGCTCGCCCACGAGGCTCCTAATAATGCCGCGGTCTGCAATGTAATTCCGATCATCAAGGTAGCCCTTGTCCCCCATACTCGAGTCGTGATTGTTGCGACCGGCGCGATGAATTGGGCCATGCTGAGGGAAAGACCTCCGACAAACGCAAAGTCGAGGTCTGATGCCCCCGGAAATGTATCTGTGCCCAGATAATGGGCCAAAAAGACACCATAGGACTAGTTGCGACGAAGATTAGGAAATCAAGCCTTATCTAAAGGTCACGATACCTTACACTATTGATTTCCTAAGTATGGGCATTGATCAGAAAGATGTACACCATATAGATCCATCCATAACCACCGTCGATCTCTATGGGTGCTGGTGGTGAGCTTGCTCGGGGTCCGTGGTGACCAGTTCGTTGTCAGCTAGCTTGTGATCCACCAGGTCATCGTAGGCCGGGTCATTCTTAGACAGCGCCTTCTCTGAAAAGCTAGTAGAAGGGTGAATGGAGTCGTGGCTAGGTGGAGTCGCTGTTATCGTGTGACTCGAGTCATCATTCTTCTTAAACTGTATGTCTTCCTCTATCACTAGTGGTAGTGGGTTGGGGAAGATTGCGATCTAGAACGAAGAGAAATGCGTCAGAGCCGATGCGAAATATTTCTTATTAAGTGGTGTGTTAAATAAGTGGTGATCGAAACACATTAAGACTCCTGCTTAGGGGCTGTGTGTAAGACCTTGGCTAAATAGTTAACTAACTACCACGCTGACTTTCCTTATAACATTTTTCAATAATGGGGTAGTGCATAAGACCAAAAAATTGGACCTTATCCGCTGCCCCTAAATTGCACCCCTGATTTGGATTACAAGCCGCGTTAGCACCTAAATCATTTTAGGCTCTAGAGACCCGACGGCGATACGATTGCCTGGTCTGGGCGTCCTCCCTGGAGATACCCGAAGGCAAGCTGGAGTGGATTGATTTAATCCTCTAATTATCAATGAATATGTTAATTAAATGTAGTCCTTTAATCGTCTAGTTATCTAAATTTGATATATCACTGTAACTCTTAATTAATTACTTTACTACGTCTCACTATGCTGATACGACCCCCTCGATATAATTGCGTATATTCAATTTCTATATTAGTTGGATAATGGTAAAGTGTGACCAAACACAATAGGTGATCGCACTGTTAGCCTAGGTAGGAAAGGGGGAAGACGGAAAACGGGTTGATCGATATCTGGAACTATGGAGGCGGCAACTAAGTGGGCCCGACCGAGACTAGAGACGGGAGACCCCATGGGGCGGCAACTAAGTGGGCCCGATCGAGATCGGAGACGGGAGACCCTGGGGGCCGTCTGACTTAGCGAGGGTCCTTTTGTGTGATTTGGAGATACAGTATTAGAGCCATAGAGTTATTTGTAAAGGGTCTTGGTAAACTACCTAGGTGATTACGATAACCTGGTTTCCTCCGAGGTCGGGGAGCTACTAGTGTTGCGACCGTACTTAGATAGCACTTGAGATGGGCAGTATGCCTATATGATGTTGTTTCCTCTTTTGTATGACTTCCTGCCATCAGTATCTATCTCTCAAAGATACATTCGATACCGTCTATACGCATTTTATCCATCTCGAATAATTACGAGCCGTATTCGTTGCCTTCCGACTTCCGTCGGTCACCAGAGGGGGGGAGTTATATGCCGCTCAAATATTATCGAGAGAGAAGCGATGTGGCGGCGCCGGAGCAGGGCACAGATATACTGGAGGGGAGTCGTTTAATCCTCTTGTCATTGATAGACTCATTCTCTTCAATATGTCGGAGGGTATTAAGCAAAAATTTGCGCGCTGCAAAGCTGAAAGCCGTGTATGTATGCCTTTGACCGAAGCTATGCGAATTGGCATGAGATTCCCGAGGTCATGAAGGCATTGCTGACATCTAATATAGCCTGCCTTTGTGACTTTTGTCACAGCTGGATATCCCACAGTGGAAGAGTCTGTAGATATTATACTGGGATTGGAAGCTAGGGGGTGCAAGTATGCAATATGTCGACTCCATTGACCCACGTGCTTCAATGTTAACTTTTCTTTTGCAGATATCATTGAACTCGGTGTTGTGAGTAGTCAACTGGTCTATTTGATACCCACCGATAGTTCTAACACCAACGCAGCCTTTCACGGACCCCTTCGCGGATGGTCCCACCATTCAGAGCGCTAATAATTTTCGTTGATCCCCATATGGTATCTACGCATTTGTTAATCAGATGTACAGAAAGCGCTTGCGAAGAATATCACTATAGACACAGCCCTAGGGCTGCCAAGGGAAGCTCGGAAAAGAGGTCTCAGAGCACCGGTGCTATTGATGGGATACTAAAGCCCACTCCTGAGCTATGGCGAGGAGCGATTGTTGGATGATTGTCGTGAGGCTGGTGTGAATGGCCTCATTGTGGTGGACCTTCCCCCGCATGAGGCTGTCAAATTCAGGAATTCATGTGCGAAGGGCGGGTAAGTCATAATACCTCGATGATAAAAGATCCTCACTGACAATTGCACACAGGCTGTCATACGTTCCTCTCCTCGCTCCTTGTAAGCCCTTCTCACATGATTCGTCGGACTTGTCTAGCTTCTAACACTTTGTTCTAGCCACTACCGAGAGCCGACTCAAATTACTCTGCAAGCTCGCGGACTCCTTCGTCTACGTGGTGTCACGTATGGGCGTCACGGGTGCAACAGGTGCTCTCAGTTCCGGTCTACCAGAGCTATTGGCACGCATCAAGCAATACTCTGGCAATGTCCCCGCAACAGTTGGTTTCGGTGTCAGCCCAAAAGAGCACTTCTTGAGTGTAGCCAGTATCGCAGATGATGTCGTCATCGGCAGTCAAATTATCACAACCTTGACCCAGGCCGCTCCTGGAGAGCGGGCCACCGCTGCTGAGGAATACTGCGCTGCGATATGTGGAAGGAGAAACTTGCCATTGAATGGAGTCCAAGAGCCAAACGGTACCGTGCAGGTGAATGGTACCAATCATACCAATGGCGAAAAGGCAGAAGTGCTTGATAAAATGGAAGCAATCGTGAGTTCTGAGGGAGGAGATCCAGAACTCTTTTCTGCTCGCTTTGGTGAATTTGGAGGCTCGTATGCCCCCGAATCACTAATGAGATGCCTTTCAGAATTGGAGGTAGGATTTGACAAAATTCGGAATGACCCCGAGTTTGGGCAGAAATGCGATCATATTACTCCTATATTGGAAGGCCTGGGCATCTTCATCTCGCAGACCGCCTTACTGAACATGCTGGCGGAGCCAATATTTGGTTAAAGCGTGAGGATTTGAACCATACTGGAAGTCATAAGAACAACAGCGCTCTGGGGCAGATTCTGCTGGCCCGCCGCTTGGGTAAGACTGAGATCATTGCTCAAACCGGGGCTGGCATGCACGGCGTAGCAACTGCCACAGTCTGTGCCAAATTCAACATGAAGTGCACAATCTTCATGGGAGCAGTAAGTCCACAGGCCCGGAACAGCGTTGCAAGTTGATATCTAACAGCTCTAAAGGAGGATGTCAGGAGACAGGCACTAGACGTATTCCGGATCAAGCTACTTGGTGCCGAGGTCATCCCTGTTGAGCAAGGCTCACGAACTCTTCGAGACGCTGTAAACGAAAATTTCCGATTTTGGATTACGAGGGTGGACACCGCTTATCACATTATCGGTCCAGCAATTGGTCCACACCCCTTTCCCACGATCGTGCGCGAGTTCCAGACTGTCCTTGGAAAGGAGACGAAGACACAGCTGCTGGAATAACGAAATAAACTACCAGATGGGGTTGTTGCCTGCATCGGCGGGGACAGTAATGCTATAGGAATGTTTTATCCGTTTATTAATGATCCAAGCGTGAGGCTTCTGGGAATCGAAGCCGGGGGCGACGGCCTTGATACGAAGAAGCATGCCGCTAGTTTAACTGGCGGCAGTAAGGGGGTATTGCATGGGAGTAGGACATATGTGCTGCAGGATAAGCACGGACAGATCCAAGATACCCATTCCATCTCAGCTGGTCTGTACTATGCTGGCGTTGGGTGAGTAGAGTTTGCATATTTGGGGATACATGTTGCTAACCATCTGAACAGGCCGGAGCTGAGCTCTTGGAAAGACTCGGGACGCGCAAAATTCATTGCCGTTACCGATGCTCAAGCCCTCCTGGGTTTCAATCTGCTCAGTGAGTTGGAGGGGATCATTCCCGCTCTCGAATCTGCTCATACTATCTATGGCGGTGTTAAGATGGCCAGGACAATGAAGAAAGACCAAGATGTTGTGATCTATATTAGTGGAAGAGGGTATGTCTTTCACCTATTGTATCTCGTGCTCTCAACTGACTTGTATTCCAGTGACAAGGATGTGGAAAGCGTGGCGGATGAACTGCCCAGACTTAGACCACAAATTGGATGGGACTTAAGGTTCTAATAGACCTAGGCGACGAACAGTTGTCGTCCAACCCATCAACTTCGCGCTAACTACAATGGTTAGACCAGACACAGTTGAGACAAATAAGATTGATTTTCGGGCCAAGTCGACCGATGAAATAAAAACCATCGGATTATATGTATAAGTCTTAAACCAGCAGATTGTTTTCTTTGGCTATTTGAGCGAGTTAGAGCGAGCTACGAGGTCAATCGCAGTTTGGAATTCGAACATTGGCTCTTCGTTGGACCCGCAAGGTCAAAATTTCAAGGGTAAGTACGGGATATCAACCATCATTTTCAAAACTGTGTTATCAAGGTGATAACCTCGACCAAGAGCGTTATAAATCTCATCAAGATTAAATTCTGGTTTGCCCGTCTTCCGCGGGTGCTGTAAAGTTCTTTCAATGTAATTTGGAAGCCAAGTCTCGCCTTCAGGGAGTTTTGAGAACACATCCCACGATATGCGAGAACGTCTCTTAACTGAAGTGCTCAATGTAATATTTGGCAATGTCTTCGAGACTGGCAAACCCATAATTTTTGGATGCCTGGTACACAAGAACGTTTCTTCCTTCATCGAGTGGCGAATCTATCGTCTCTTCGCTCTCTAAAATAAGGAAATGCACCAAAGTATAACCAGCATCTTCGTGAAGATCAGGGAATTTGATGGTGTTATACAGAAGCTATTACTGATACCGTGAGATTTTGAGAACAAAATGCGCCAGAAGGCTGTACCGCTTTTTTCCGATTGCAAGAGTACCCAGTACTTTTTAGTAATGTTTAACAATTCGTATGCCTTATAGAAACGTCAAAATAATTTGATATGAAAGAATTAAAACGGCTTACGATAACAATGATTAGTGATAGCCCATTTTCGAAGATATTTAGACAGGCGTCGAGCCTTTTAACTCCTTTTGCGACTTAGGGTGCTTAGACTTTTTCTTAGCCATGTTTGGTACTTGATATTGTTGATCTAAATCCATTAACACTCTTGATATGCTCTTTATCATCGTAAAGATTGGTCGTATAGAAGTCTCGAGAGCATGCTTGGTTCAATGTTATACCAAGGCCATTCACCCGTTAGTCACGCTCTCTCCAACCTACGTCTTCCACTTACCAAACTGTGTAGTGACATTACCATTAATCACTGCTACCTAGAATTCAAAGTTTATGCCGTCGTGGGAAATGGACTAATGGTAGTTGTTATTATTATATATAGCCTGGCGGTCGCGAGCATTGCGGTAAGTCTACGGTTGGATCTCCCGGTTCCTGATATACTCCGCTATCAGGTGATCTATCTAGACGTCGGAACCAGCCGTCTTGATCTCTTACCCTAATAAGAGGCAAATGCGCAGATGTAGCTCTATGTTGTATTTTTATTCTGATCCGAGTGACGAACGAGATGCAACGTGGATTAACAATTGTTATCCTGTTTCAAGAAAGTTACAGACTTACCGATTTTGTAATTTATTATTACAAAATATTTCGAAGTCTTGTTCGCGTTCCGTTACGGGCAGAAGATCCCACTGAGGAGCCTAGTATTCCAAGGTTACATTCAATGATTACTTACTAAGCTTTCTTGTTCGCCCGTTAAGCATCAGTCATGACCAGGGCTACTCAGCCCCTGAGCACCCTCATAAAAGCGGCGGCAGCTCAAATAGGAAAGCCCCACCCGCCAGGAAATATCCGGTACGTATAGGTACATATGTACTGGATAATGCCTGGCACTCGGGACCTTTCCCTTTCCATTTTAGTGCTCACCTCTTGCCGCTTTTTGATCACTAAGTAAAACTGAGCACGTCCCTGAGTATTCTGACTTGATCACGGGCCATTACATAATCAAAATCATCCCTAGTTAAGCAACCGATCCACCACAATACATCATCTAGTTAAGCACTCTGATTTGCTCATTAAGTGCTCACTAAGTGTAGGGATAAGCGGTCTAATTAAGCTATATTAAGATTGCCGAGCGAAGCGACTAGTTCTAATTTCTAGGGCCACGTAGTAATCAGTAATAGTAAGCAATTCCCTTCGGAGCCCTCTGGGGGCCCTTCCGGGGGACCCCCTCCCGGGGGCGGGGGGGGAGGGATACCTTCGTGATCACCGCTAAATTCGAAGTAGATAAGGAAGTATAGGGGTCACGTGGCCCTTCCAAATTAGGCCTAGTATATATTTCTTCTATCGGTTAGGATATTCTGCCGCTTCTCACCGTTCCCTTTTTCGCCGCATAACTTTACTGTCAATTTGAACCCAATGGGAACTTCTGATCACGTGACACACGACCGCTTATGATTTAAGTTGCTCCGCTTCGTTCGTTCTAGCGGTCTCGCTATCTAGGGGGGAAAAAATTCACACCGGGGTTATTTAATAGACCTATCATTTTCTATTTTAGCCTATGCTCCTAGGAATTCCCCTCGGAATACTTCGCTTATAAGCCTGGCAATTCCCTAATCGGGGTTTAGATTACTACTAGAGCAAGATACAGGGCAGTCCTACATAACTTATGCAGGTCATATTTTTCTTTTTTTGCACTGGCATGTCACTCCTGTCTCTTGGCACTCCCGTGAGACCAAATCATAATTACCGCGAGTCGAACATAATATAGTGCAAGTGAAATAGGACGACGGCAACTTGTATAGTATACATTGGCTATGTCTACTCTAACTATCAGCTGACTTCGCCTAGCGTGCAAAATCTTACATCTAATTTTAAACAAGTCTTTGCTCTATTCTTCTAGAAGTATATACCTCGGTAGAATATCCCGAGCGGGTAGGATGGAGAAATGAGTAATCAAGTTTGGCAGTATATATATGCATGACTTGAGTAACAAATGCTCAAGCTAAGCACTTAATAGGCGATATTTGGACCTGAACAATCTACCCCTCAGCCCTGGGAAGTGGCCAGGGTCTTATATAAAATTACTCATTATTGGAACTCTAGGGCTTAACGATCATCCTTTTGCCGAGGCTCAAAGGCACAAAATCGAGTGGGGGGCTTGGCATCGGAGATCGTCTTGTTTCGGTTACTTCAAAGCAACTTCGGAACATAGGGCCGGGACCTACAAAGTATATCTGCGGTCGAATTTCGGTCGCGTAGTCCCCTTTTTTGATGATCAAATTACACACAGTAGAGTGAGTAAGAACATGATCTGCAACCTTGCCTTTGGTTGAGGTCCAATAATAGTTCCACAATTGCGTTTCAAATAGAATATATTTGCTGGATCTTCAGCCCTCCTCTTCCAAGCCATACAATAAAATGTATAACTCTTATAATATGTGCACTTTTGGGATCTTAAATGGCACCACAATCAAAAAATCTTGATCCTAGCGTACAGTACGAATATTGCCATTTTTGCTTTTGCCCTAAATCGACATTCGCGTAATTGAAGCGATGACTCGATTCAAACCAGTAATTTCATTTAAAAATGGTTGATCTTCATCGTATTTGTCTGCCAAGTTATGGCGTTTACAGCCGCCGATCTATAGAGGCCTGGAGTCCATCGGGCTTCTTGGCGATAAGAAAAATTGCCCGCGAGCTGTGCTCCACGGCATCAAAGTCAGCTCTTACCAACTTTGGAATTATTGACAAGCCGACAAGGTTTTGATTGGGGAGCTTGGAATTGATTAGCAATTCTGTGGATTTCGTCGTAGGTCCTATATTATGGAAGTTCTTTCCAAGGTTCTTAGGGCTGGTTTCACTTGAACTTTGAGAGTGGGGCATTTCCTTGTTTTATGGTCCAATTAAGACTGTCTTTGGCCTTTGTTTGTCGAGAATCTATAGCTTGACGCGTGCGAAATATATAACCTTAACATACACGGAGTGTCCACCAGGAGTATCCACGCTGTTCACTTGGGTCCATTTATATCGAATTGGAACAAAACCGGCTACTCCCCCCAAGGGGGAGAAATTTTCCCTTATTATCTTCAACGTTGTTTCTGAAATCATCATGAGGGGCCATTTATTCTTTTTTGCCTTTCTGGCTCTGTTTATAGGGGGGATCCATGCAGCAGAGTCGGATACAACTGTCTTCCCATCGTGTGCGGTACGTATATCTCCCAATGCAGTCGTATTCATTGCTAATTAATATATGTTAGATCACTTGTAACGACCAGCTATTTTCCGATTGCTCATTAACGAATAGTGCATGCTTTTGTGCTAGCAACTCTCGTCCTAGGGCCCTGTTAGATTGTGCTGAAAGTAATTGCACGACAAAGGAATTCTTTAGTACGTCTCGACCGTGATCAATATTCTAAGCCCACTATTAACTCTGGTAGCTACAAAACGTCTATATCAACAAGAATGTGATATCATACCGCTCAAAGGCCCTCCGGTGGTTAAGGTCTCGACTCTGATCCCTTTTATTCTTGCGACGGTTTTCTTCGTCGCAAGAATGTTCGCTAAAAGCAATGGCCTCGCTGGTGGATGGGGATGGGATGATTATACAATCATTGTCTCATATGTTAGTCACTTCTTGCCTAGGTGGTGTTTTCTAGAGCGGTATTAACAGCCTCTTAGATCATCGGTACCGCCATATATGTTCTGGACATCTATAGTAAGCTGTCCTTCCGGCTTTATATTTCGCAAGAAAGAAGAACTAACTAACCAATCAGTGATACGTAATGGCTTTGGTCAAAATATTTGGGACCTCCCTTTTCCCACAATAACTAGGTTCTACCAGGTTCGGATATCTCTCTAATCCTCTTTAATGCAATTCTAATCTAACGAGAACAGCTGTTCCAAGCTATGGCCGTTATGTATAAGGTTCAAATTTCCCTCGCAAAGATCTCCGTGTGTCTCTTCCTACTCCGCATTTTCCAAGCACGCACATTCCGCTATTTTGCATACGCGCTTATCGGTATAAACGCCTCAATCGGTATTACATGGGCCTCGGTGGATGGCTTCCGCTGCACGCCGACACGCCTAACATGGCTTGGTTGGATGAATGAAGAACCTGGATACTGTATCGATTTTATCGCCGCGGTTCTAGTTAACTGTCTGGTGAATATCGTTGTCGACTTTATCTTGATCATTACGCCGGTGTATGAAGTGATTAAGTTGAAGTTGCCTCTACGGAAGAAGCTTGCTGTGGCATCGATGTTTATCGTGGGCTCTGTGTATGCACCCTCTAGCCTGACCTGTTTCCATTTACTTTTTGCTAATCAACCTTAAAGTCTGACGGTTATCGCTATTATCCGAGTCGTCGTCTTCTGGACCAACCGCTGGGGCTCTAACGAGACGCTCGGCCTATACCCCCTCATGCACTGGTCTGTCATCGAATGCCAGATTTCCGTCATGTGCGCTTGCTTGCCTGCATTCAGAGCTATCATCGGTCGGTGGTTCCCCCAGTTGCTAGGCGGATCGTCGAATCGAACGAAACAACCGTACACCGCTGAGTACTATCACCAAAAGTCCAAGGCGAGTGGGAACATTAATAAGTCTGTTACCTACTCCGTGAACTATGAGTCCCGGTCACCGACGAGTAGTGATGTGGAGTTGGTGGATATGGACCTGCAACGTCGCAATGATGGATGAATTTGTACTTTTGGTTCTTTTTGTATAACTTAGATATTCGCAAATGAGACCGTTTAATACATAGATGAGTTTAGACTAACAGTCTGCTGGTCTGCTATTGTAAAAATTGTAATAAGTCGTCAGGTGGTCGAGATAGTTCGTTTTCGAAGGAAAATTCGTTGTCGGTTCTTCAAAAGAGAAGGTTGAACTTTGAATAGCGCCCTTCATAGGAGAAATCACCGCAGGCAACAACTTGGAGATTTGGGAGACCATCGGAACTAAATGCCCACGGCGCAAAATCGTATATCTCTTCGGGTTTATATGGAAAATCTGCTTCTGCTTTAGTATACACCTTATCATTGACTGTACATAGTCACCTTTGGGATGGGATCAGCTTACCATCACCATAATTACAAATATAAAGAGACGTCGAAGATCAGCTGGACTGCCCGGCGCTAGCCAGTCGCTCAAGGACCACCCCACTTAGCCTAATGTGTACCAATTTGCATGATGGCCTCGGCTGCATCTTTTGGAGGTGACTCAACTATGCCTCGTTTAGCAGAGATACAGAGTCCAAGAATTGAAGGAACACATACTAGCTCTCTAGGTCCTATGGAGCACCCGAGACAAGTTAATTGTGGCCTTTGCAATATCTGTTGCAAATGGAAAGACCATGGGATATCCCCATCTATGAGCTTCTGGCCACCTCTATCCACCAGATGGTGAATGACAAAGCGCTTGATATGATGAAGGTATGATATCCTATCTGCGAGAACTGTCCAACCAATGGGTCTAGGAAGCATAAGATATAGGCTCTCCAGACCGAAGACGCGCTGAAAGAACTTTTGACATAGTTTCAGTGAAATGCATGTATGCGTCTCTCTAAGACTATCGACATCAAGAGCAAGTTCAAGAAATTCCAACTCCATCGACTTTCCGGAATTGATTATCGTCCGCAGCCAATCAAGAGATCCCGGGCAATTTCGCAATTTGAGAGCCTTCAGGTGGTCGATGTTGAAAACATGAACCATTTCTAGGCCAGTGTGATAGAAAGATACCTCTGATAGATGAGTTCTCTCGAGAGATCGAAAGACAACCTTTTGGTCTGCAGGGTGGATGTCGAGCACTGTCCGCGAAAAGAAGTTGTCAGGAATCCCCGCGTGGTGAGGGTCCAATTTGCTGAGTCCATTGGCCCAAATTTCCTCCGCACGAGCCCAGGTCAAAAGATTGAGAGTAAGTGATTGGATTTGGTGACCGTGAGCTTTGATACATTCTTTAACGGACTGAAAGTCATCAAATCGGTTTAGCCCCCTCTAGTCCAGATATCGTAATTGTCTAAATTGGACGAGTTCGACAAGACGTAGCGTGTCATTATTTACACCACACTCACTATCCGTGATGAGGGTGATAGATTGGATCTGTCTTTGATTCTCAAGAAAAGAGTCGTTACCGCAAAAGAGAGATCTCAGGATACAAGTTTTAACCTCCTAGCTAAATTCAGGTAAGCGCATTTTGAAGCTAAAGGCCGAGATACTGACCGGATACTCCGTAACTGATCATCTGGAAATCTTAAAGAATCTAACGTACGAGCTAGATGAAGCAGTGGGTCCAAGATATGACCCTAAACTATCTATTATTTACTTGACCTTTAGGTGTCGGTGCTAGACTTTCAGCTTCACTCACCTTGTTAAATCCCTTGTTTCTGTCCTCGTCTGTATCCTCGTCTGTATCCTCATCTGTATCCTCATTTGTATCCTCATCTGTATCCTCATCTGTATCCTCATCTGTATCCTCATCTGTATCCTCGTCCCAATTTCCATCCGTTGTTAGAGATTCAGCGAGCATTTCATGAAGGCCGTCATCATTGTGGTGTACACAGCGGGATTCAACGCGTTCATGGATCGGAAAACTGAAGCCGAATTTTTAAGTATACTTCAAAAGTCCCTGTGGTATCGCCTCCAATCTTGCAGATAGATACTCTAACGATGACTCTGGAGCAGGGAGGAGAAGATACTGATACAGATGAGGAATGGTCACATCATAGAGATACTTGCATCCCAAACATGTTCCACCGGGACATCAAGCCTGAGAATATTCTCATCGGCATTCATGGAGTGTTGGAGTGTCCATGCACCAAGTGGTCGTAGGGGCACTATGTGTGGAACCCTAGACTATTTGCCCCCGGAGATGTGTGACCCAAAGAGGTCAGATAAGCCTAATGATGAAAAGGTTGATGTCTGGTCACTCGGGGTGTTGATGTACGACTTCCTGGTCGGAAGTGCACCTTTTGAGGACACGCCTATCATGACACAGAGGCGAATCGCTAGAGGGGAAATGTCAATCCCTTCTTTCGTTAGCTCTGAAGCTAAGGATCTAATCAAGAGGGTAAGTTCATCTCAAAGTATCATCCGATCATCAACTAATACTTAAAAAGTTACTTGTTCTTGATTCGGATAAAAGAATCTCTCTGAACGACATTTTACAGCACCCTTGGATTATTAAACATTGCTCTAAAAGCGAAAATAAGGCCAAATAGGGCAAGTTTGAGTAATGGCTTGAGCACTTCAACATAGTCGATAATCTAATACCACAATTTTCTTTATTTATATGATAACCTGTGAGTCTTTTTCAATTATTTTTTTCCATTTCTTTTCTGCAATGAGATACGAGTACCAGCTCTCAAGTTGCAAACTCCCGACCATAAAAAAAAGGTACCGAATTAGATTCCATATCATTTCCAGTGAGCAGACGCCCCTGGGCTTCGTGGAAGGCCACATTTACTAGATAAGCTTGTTTCGGCATACTGCTACTGCTTTTTGCCGAGAAAAAGGTTGTATTCTTTATCTTTCAGACTTCTAAGACTAGTCCTGTAATTGTATGCTATATTACTCCGTAGTTAAGATAACCATAACAAATGGTGTTATTTTCGGCCGGCAGAATATTATGTAATATAAGGCGTGTGCCCAGGACGGGGGGTGCAATTACTCATGTCCATTGACTGTACATGATTACATAATGTTGCCAACCTCAGGCCTCAAGGCACGGTGTCGCGTCTCCCCCCACGCTGAGACCCGGACCGTTTTCTGCTCAAGTACCTCCGTTTGATTGACCTTGTCTCAGCACGGTCAGAGCGAGTGTCGCAAATATTTGACGTCTCAATTTGTACACTTCTTCATATTCTTCCAACTTTTTATTTGCTTGGTCGTACCAGACCCGCGCGTTGCACGAGCGCGTCCCCGACCTGAACGGCAGCGACATCTGCCAACTCTGTTGAAAGCCATTGATCTGGTTAGCAGGCCTATCTATCTGATCGCATATCCATATAATACACCCATCCAACGTCATGGATATCGACAACCCACCTCTATCAAGCCCCAGTGGCCCGTCGTCGACCCCCGCAGAGGACCGACGCAAATCCGGTCGACAAACGCGACGGCCCGAAGTATTCTCGCAGACAACACACTCTGCCGAAGAACAAGCTGCCAGTGGAAAGCGCAAGCGAGGTGGGGCGCGTGAGGACGGCGATGAGGACGCGTCCGAGTCCGACAGTGATGATGCCGCCGACGACGAGACCGATGAGGAGGAATTGAAAGAAAAGCGACGCGCTGCACGTCGAACCGGTGCTCAGAAAACCAAATCGAAAACCAAGTCCAAGGGATCACACGCTTCGAAGAAACCCAAGGTTGCAAGTAACGGATTAGGGAGACAACTCGCCTTCCGACCAGCCACCAATGGCCGATTGCCTGCTGCTCGTCCTCGGAAACCGAAAGTACGACCTAGTCTCGCGGCAGGTGAACGCGGATTGTTTGGTGAGTGATAACCTTCTTTATATATGCAAATTCAATCCCGTGGCTAATGCCAGAATCAGCCGAGGTCTTTGGGAAAGGCAGCAATGCCGATACAGTGGCCGCTCAGTGGTTGTCTCAATACCAACGCAACAATGGACAGGCCATGTGTGACCTCGTTAACTTCATCTTGCGATGCACGGGTACCGATCTTGAGATCGACATTAATGAAGTGGAAGACATCGACAATGCCCCGGGCCGAATCGAAGACTTGCAGAACCTTTACCAAGCAGAAGGCATCACCGAGTATCCTATTATCTCCAAAGCGAAGAAATTCAGAGCGTTCTCAGTCCTCCTCGAAGAATTTACTGTCGCACTGATCCAGACTTTCCACGCCTCTTCTATCCTGTACACCGATGATACCCTTCTCGAAAACATTCAGATCTGGATCTCTTCCATGTCAACATCAAAATGTCGACCATTCCGGCATACAGCAACCTTGATCTCCCTCGCAATTATGAACGCTTTATGCGATATTGCGCGCGAGGTGACGACGAGCGTATCTACTTCCAGAAAACAACTCGAAAGTGAGAAGAAAAAGAAGACGGTAAACAAGGGACGCGTGGAAGCAATTAAAACGGCTGTGTCAGAGGGTGAACAGAAGGTGGAGCGACTAGACGAGTTCCTGCAGGATGGATTCGATACTGTATTTGTCCATCGCTACCGGGACATTGACGGTCAGATCCGGGCCGAATGCCTGACAGCTCTAGGCGGATGGATTCGCACCTACCGAGAAATATTCTTTGAGGGCCAGTATTTGCGATACCTGGGATGGACTCTCGCCGACGTCATTGCGCAGACCAGGCTTGTTGCATTGACTGAGCTCTTGAGCCTTTATGAGAACCGTGACAACCTTGCTGGCTTGCATTCATTCACTGAGCGCTTCCGGCAGCGAATCGTGGAGATTGCTGTGCAAGATGCTGATGTTTCGGTGCGCATGGCTGCGATTGAGTTGCTGAACCACCTTCGTGAAGGGGGCTTACTCGAGCCAAATGATATTGATGCCGTCGGGCGATTGGTATTTGATTTGGACCCCCGCATTCGGAAAACAGCTGGCCGCTTCTTTGTTGCCAACGTTCAAGATGCATACGAGTCAATCACCGAGGAAGTGGGAGAGGAGATCGCCGAATTGCTGGCTGATGATGATGAAGACGACTATGAATCGCCTAAGCACTCGTGGATCAAGTTTAAATGCCTCACCGAGCTGTTCCAGGCCTACGATGCACAACAAACTGAGCAGCAATTAGAGCCAATGTCTCGCGACACACTGATGGGAGTGGCTGTAGAGTCACGCTTTGCTCTCGCAACTGAGGCTGTCTACCCCCATCTTGAAGAACTTTCTCAGTGGCCATCACTGGCTGGTTATCTTCTTTATGACCACTCTCAAATCATTGATACGCCATCTGAAGATGATACCGCAGGAGTTGTAAAGAACATGTACAAAATGCAAGAAGGACAAGAATCTATCCTTCTGGAGGTTCTCTGTGCTGCAGTCAAGCTCCGTGTTCTCGACATCGCCAAGTCCGATATCGACAAGCGCGGGCGTAAGACCAAGGCTCTGGCAGCCAAGATTTCCGAGCTCCAAGAGGAACTTTCTCACAACCTTGCTCAGATCATCCCTGGGCTTCTCAATAAGTTCGGTTCCACACCGGAGGCTGCTTCTGCCGTTCTGCGACTGGAACACCTAGTGGACCTGAACACAATCCAGGATCTCCAAAAAGATGCTACAGCTTATACCTCGTTGCTCAATGACATCAACAAGCAGTTCTTGACTCATTCGGATCAAGATGTTCTGGCCGAAGCTAGTGTGGCTTTCTTGCATGCCAAGAGCTCCGAGGAGATGCGAGAGGCGCTAGAGGGTAAGGTTCAAGAGCTATGGGATGATATGGTGGAGGCACTGGCTGCCTTGTCTCAGAAGAAGGACGTCCAGGAAGGTGGCTCAATATCCGATCCCACTCTCACCGACCTGAGCAACACTGTCTCTCGAATTTCGAACCTAGCCGGTATCACCGATTGTGCCTCCATTCTCGAAACTGTCCCTAATTCACGGTCCAAATCCAAGAAGGACCACACTGAAGCCCCATTCAACACTCTCATTCGTCTTGCCGAACGTGGTCTGCGCAGCGAAGATGACGATGAGGATACCGCCAAGGCAGAGAACGAGCTAGTATCAAGCAGTATCCGGTCGTTGCTTTTCTATTTCATGTGGAAGGTGCAGGCACTGTCCACAGCTTTGAATGACGGAAAAGCTTCCTTCAGCACATCCTACTTCGAAGCACTGACAAAGAGCCGTGAAACTTTCGCCTCAACACTCGTCAACATCATGGAAACGCGCCCAGGACTGGACGACCTCCGCTTCATAGCAACCACAACATACTTAGACCTGCAAACGCTCTTCAGCACGCTCCGCAACATCGGTCAAGGCAACGGCAACGACGAAGACGTCCTGTTCCAAACCCAAGGCCTAATCCATGAAATCGGACCTGACACCCAAGCCCTCATCACCAAGATCCACGGCATAGCCGAGCGGACATCTGCCAAGAAATCAAGACTCAACCTCGAGCCCGCAGACGACGACGCCCCAGCCTCAGAAGACGAGCTCGACTCCGAGGATGAAGCTAGCGACTCCGAAGACGAAGCAGTCACCAATGACCGCCTTCGCAACAGTATCGTCGCCGAACAGCGCCTCTGCGAGCTGACAGGAAAACTCGTCCTCGCCATCATCGCCCGCATCATCGACGCCTCCGGCTCCAAGCGCGGTGCCCTGAAGAAACGTCTCCTCCGCAATAAGACTGCACTTGGCCACAACTACCGAGAGGTCCTGTCTTATCTGGAAGAGCGTAAGCCTCGCAATGCTCCTCGCGCCAAGGGCAAGCAGCCTGCCAAGCCTGCTGCTTCTCCTGCCAAGGGCTTCCAGTCTACTGAGCACATTGATGATGACGATGAGCATGACCAGCCTGAGCCTATTGAGGAAGATGATGATGAGGATCTGCGTGCACG